CGTGGAAATCCAAGTCAAACACGGCAGCCACTTATCACCAGTCGTGTGCTTCGTCGCTGACGTAGGAGACTTTGATCTTATCCTTGGTATGACTTGGCTGGAAGACCACGACCCCGGTCTCACCTTCTCACCGCGGAGCATGAAGTTCTCTTCTTCACATTGTACTTCATGTTGTCTCGACCACGGTCTCCCTGAGACAGTATACGGCGACGGCAAGACTCCATCACTTTCAGAATCTCGGCAAACCACGCCCGTGGGCGAGATCTGCATTATCACCGCCAAGGCCGCCTACCTCATGGCTGCGCACAACCCAGACGAAGCCATCTGGGTCGAACCACAAGACTGGGAGAAGCTTGCTGACCCTCCAGACGACAATAACGATTGCGATTTAGACTCCTTCAAACGCAACATCGCCCGCCTCGCCGCCGTCACACAAGAGGACTACGACCACTATATGAACAAGATGGAGAGTCCACATATGACGGAAGCGGAGATCCGCAAACTGGTGCCAGACTGGTTGTACAGCAAGATGCCAGACTTGTTCAGTCCTATACAAGCAGGGAAGTTGGCACCTCATCGCGAAGGCGTTGACCATGAGATTGACACCGACGGACGCATTCACAAGCCTAAGATCTATGGGCTCACACGAACGGAGACCAGGGCCATCAAGGCCTACATCGACGACATGCTCGGACGCGGATTCATCCGACCGTCCACATCTCCGTACGCGTCACCTGTCTTAGTTGTCAAGAAACCAGGTGGCGGACTTCGCATCTGCGTTGACTACCGTCAGCTCAACGCCATCACCAAGAAGAACCGCAACGCTCCACCCTCCATCAAGGAAACGCTGGCCCGCATGGCCAAGGTACGATGGATGACGATTGTCGACGTTGTGGCTGCATTCAACACTGTTCGGATCAAAGAAGGCGATGAAGAAAAGACAGCCTTTCTCACTCGGTATGGGCTATACGAATACGTTGTCATGCCCTTCGGCCTCTGCAATGCGCCTGGCACTTTCCAGACCTTTATCAATGAGACACTCCGCGAGTACCTTGACGATATCTGTACAGCTTACCTCGACGACGTCCTTATATACACCTGCGACGATGACGAGTCAGTTCATGAAGCCGACGTCATCAAGGTCCTCTCTAAGATACGCGACGCTGGCCTCCATCTTGATCCCACGAAGTGCAAATTCAAGGTCAAGAAAGTGAAGTACCTAGGCCTCATCCTCACTACAGAGGGCATCGAAATGGATCCAAAAAAGGTCTCCACTATACTAGACTGGCAAATACCGCGCTCAGTCAAAGACGTCCAGTCTTTCCTTGGTTTCGCCAACTTCTACCGTCGCTTCATCAAAGGCTTCTCCTACATCGCAAAAGCCTTGACAGAACTCACGCGCAAGGATGGCGAAGGCAAGGACCAGAGACATCAGTTCCCGCTCATCGCTGATAGCAAAGCTATACAAGCTTTCCATCGACTTAAGGACGCCTTTAAGACTGCAGGAGTTCTTGCACACTTCGATCCTGACCTAGAGACTTGGTTGGAAACCGATGCCTCAGATTTCGTTACTGCAGCTATCCTCTCTCAGAAGGACGCGACAGGAGTCCTCCGCCCAGTTGCTTTCCTATCGCACAAGATGAACCCTGCGGAATGCAATTATGAGATATACGACAAGGAACTCCTAGCTATTGTCAACGCCTTTGAGCAATGGCGCTTTGAGCTGTCTGGTACTGATGATCCTATTATGGTGTTGTCTGACCATCAAGCCCTTCAGACCTTTATGACCACAAAGCGCCTCAACAGACGCCAAGCCCGTTGGGCGGAATTCATGGCAGAGTTCAACTTCATTATCAAGTACAGGCCAGGCAAGCAGGGCACGAAGCCAGACGCTTTGACAAGGCGTCCTGGCGACCTACCCGAGTCACCCGACGACATCCGCCGTCGGCATCAACTCCAGGTAGTCATCAAGCCTGACCAAGTCGATCCTGAAGCGCGCGTCTGCACCATCAACATCGCCAAGGATGGAGGTTCTCGCCATGCAGTCTACCTCGCAAATCTCATCACACAGCGCACCCTTCCTGACTCTATCCCCGCAGTCGCGCAAATGCTGTATCAACTTAGCGAGGAAGACAACATCTCTGAACGGTACGCCGTCCTCGCCGCACTGCCTGGCATCGAGCCTGAGGGGGGAGAAAACGGCGTCTCCCATGACCTCACGAGCAAAAGATCGCTCTGTGCAGCCGATAACGTTACAATCTCGCCTATTACAACGCCAATCGCCGCAACTAGTGCGCCCGCGATACCAAACGAGACGCCCGCCGCAATTAATGTGCCCGCGCCACCGAACAACGAGCTGACTATTGATGCTCTGCTTGACAATATCAAGGCAGCATACAAGGATGATAAGGTGTTGCAGGCGATCGTCAAAGCCAAGAAGGACGGCCTACGACGCCTGCCGTTCAAACTCATACATGGAGAAGAGCACCTCAGGCTGGAACTTGGCGATTGCGAGATCACCGACGAACTACTCTATGTGCGCAACAAGGTCTACGTCCCCGCCGGCGCCGTTCGCACCCAAGTTATTGAACAAGCCCACAAGAGCGTCTGCGGTGGCCACAGCGGCAAACATGAGTTATACTCCAAGCTGTCGCGATGGTATTACTGGCCTAGGATGACCACGGACGTCGCGCAATATGTACGCGCGTGTCTGACTTGCAAGAGGAGCAAAGCATACCGAGAAGGCAAGCATGGGCTGCTGCATCCGCTACCAATCCCCAGCAAATACTGGTCCAGCATCTCTATAGACTTCATCACTCACCTGCCGCCCTGCAGGCATAACGGTCAAACGTTCACTGACATCCTCGTGGTAGTCGACCGACTCACCAAGAAGAAGAAGTTCATCCCAATGGCTAGTATGACCACCGACGCCCTTGTGGTAGCCTTTATCGAATACATCTGGCGAGAAGAGGGCTTTCCTGAGGAGATTATCTCAGACCGTGGAGCGCAGTTTGTCTCTTACTTTTGGAAGCGACTATGCCAGCGTCTGGGTGTACGCCCGAAGTTCTCGACCGCTCACCATCCCCAGACTGACGGACAAACCGAGAACGCGAACTCCTACCTCAAGCAATACCTACGCGCCTATGTCAACTACGAGCAGGATAACTGGGCGCTTTTTCTGCCAATAGCTGAATTCGAAGCCAACTCCAGCACCAGCAGCACAACTGGCAAGTCGCCTTTCTTCGCGACTAAAGGATACAACCCACGGAGTGGCATTGAACCCCCTGCGCCAGCGCCAGGCGCTGCGACCTTGACTGCGCCTGCGCAACAAGAACGTCTCAACGCTGACGCTTTCGCGGATCGCATGAAAACGCTGCAGGACGAGCTGCGAGCTTCAATGCAATGGGCGCAAGCAAAACAAGCAGAATACGCCAATGAAGGAAGGCTACCCGCACCAGCTTTCAAAGTCGGCGACCAAGTGATGCTGGACACTCGCAACCTACGGACGAAAAGACCCTCCGCGTCATTAGACCTAAAGAACCGCGGTCCCTTTACTATCGTTCGCGCCATCAACAACACCGCATACGAGCTAGATCTTCCCGCTAACATGAAGCGCATCCACAATGTCTTCCACCCATGGCTCTTACACTTGGTTGACGACAACCCACTTACTGGACAAACACAAGATCCTGAGGTCCCTGCGGAGTTCGACCCAGAAGTGGAAGACGACACTGAATACACTGTCGAAGCAATCGAAGACTGCCGCATTAATAAGAAGCTTAAGGATCCTGCCGCCCGCGGTCGCAAGGGCAAGACTACCCAAGGCCTGCTCCAATACTTGGTACGATGGGCAAACTATCCCGACGGCCCCGACAATCCTTCATGGGAACCATACATGAACCTCGCGGACTCCGCTGACACTGTGACGCGCTATCACCTTGATCACCCAAACAAGCCGCCTATGCACAGGAAGTTTAAGTCTCTCACAGGCAAACAAGATATGCTGGTTATGCGACTTCACGCTCTTAGTCGTGTCTAGCCAGTGGTGACAACAGCAGACAAGACCAACAATAAGACTGGGATAATATAGTTGTGCTTGCTATAATCGAGGGCGTCGATAAGTTGTGCTAGAAATAGGACTTATAGACGCTGTGCTCGTGGCAAGGACTAGACTGTCAAAGTTACTATTGTTAAGACAAGATGCTAAGGTCACCACGCCACGATGATGATCCATAATTACTGTGCACAGACAACGGGAATAGAATGTAGTAATGGAATGGACACTGCAAGCGACACGCTTGGTATGCAGCAGTTTTGCGATATAGGTATCTCCTTTGTATACAATTTTAGGCAAAAAAAAAAAAAAAAAAAAAAAAAAAAGGCAGTTCGAGCGTTGGAACTTGCTCTCTTTTTTGGGGGGGTAGTGTCATGGATCAAACCCGCGACCTCTAGTAAGCGAGGTGGCCCGTGCGCCTTAAGCGAAGGCCACAGCCGAACACCAAAGTTCGACCCGCGCAGGTCTTCGAACCTGCACGCAATATCTCACTTAGTACTTAATACAGATACGGTCATCTCAACTATTGACGTCCCTCACAGCAACAGCGCCGACAGTATATAGCCTGTGGAGAAGCTCTGCGGGTAGAGGAAGGTTAATTGCTTGCTGCAGAGGCTGAAAGAGTGCTCCAGCAGGTAGAGCAGGCAGGGCAGCTAAGCAGGCCTCGGGCACCACCAACCTGCACCAATTGCCACGAAAAAGGCCATAAACGGACTCAGTGTACTAATAGATAGCGCGCATCTAATAGATCTATTTTCTATATTTTTTATTGCGTGGTTGTAGAGCTACTGCAAGAAGACGCGTCGCGATTTTGGTGGGGCGGGCCGAGGAGTGGTGAGACACGTTAGATAATCTGCTTAGGAAAGCTTATTTGCTGAAGTCTATACACGTATCAAAATTTTACTTTATATGGCTTTACAAACCAAAAGTGTCATCAGCTTGTCAATCATGCTTTGACGTCCGCATTCTCGACTCTCACTGGGCTATGCTCAAGACCGGCCTTCTTCTCTGAGTCGAGCTCACCGCGCTCAGCACGGCGGGTACTGCTGTATTCAACCTTGGTCTTCCATGCCGGCACACCAGTCATGAACATCTCCTCCACGTCCTCAAGCGTCTTCCCGGCAGTCTCTGGGAAGAGGAAAAACGTGTGAATTGCCATTGTCGCACAGAAAACGCCGAAAATCAGGTAAACTTTCCACTGTATGTTGACGAACGCTGGCGGTACAAAATAGGAGAGGGCGAAGTTGAAGATCCAGTTGCTGCAATCAGTCAGTTTCAACGTTCCAAGTCTAAAATGACCGGTTTCTGCTTACCTCGATGTCGCAAGCGCAACAGCCTTGCCGCGGATGCGCAGCGGGAAGATTTCCGGAGGATACACCCAGGACGCTGGACCCCAAGTTGGTGCATACGATGCCACGAAGAGATACGTGCAAGCAATCACAGCCCAAGCAGGGGATCCACTGATTTTCCAAGATTGCTCCGCGATTCCGTCGACACCTCCCGGTGGCGCTGGTTCTCCGTACGTCGCCATAAGACCTGCATTTGCGAACATCCAAGCCGACATGAGAACGGCTCCAAATACAAACATAGGGCGACGACCCCAGCGGTCCATAAAAAGCAAAGCCGGAACCGTCATCAGAACGTTAATTACATACTGAATCGAGCTGGCGATGAGATTTATATTCCCGCTGAGACCTGCCATCCCGAAGCAAAAAGTTATGTAGTACATCATCACGTTCATTCCTGTCAATTGCGACCAAATTTGTGTGAATATACCGATGTGGAGGCGATTAAGCATCTTTGGCTTGAAAAGTTCGGCCCAGGATACGTCGGAGTTTTGTCGGTCGAACTCGATCATCTGGCGGATTTCGTCCATCTCTAGCTTGATGAACGGGCTGTTCGGGTCGCCTTTACCGTGAACTAGGGTTAAAACAGCTTGAGTCTCTTCCCATCGGTCATGTTTGGCAAGCCATCTGGGACTCTGTTGAAATATCAGTAATATGTTGTGTGCAGTGATTGTAGTGGACTTACCTCTGGCAGGAACACGAGGCCCAAACCGAGTATCAGAGCGGGGATCATTTGAAGTGCCCATGGTACACGGAATGCCTGGGGACCATCCAAGAAACTACATCCATATGAGATGTAATACATGATTAGGATGCCCCATGTGATTGCCCATTGCTGTGATCCGACGACACGGCCACGTCGTGAAGGTGGTGCAAGTTCGGAGATGTAGACTGGGACCTGAGCCGAGCAGATGCCGACAGAAAGACCATTGATGAAACGGCCACCGATTAGCATCCCGATATTCTGTGCTGCGCAAGAGATGATAGAGCCGATGATCCAGATCAGACAGCCAATCTGGATAGCCTTTTTACGGCCAAGCTTGTCTGTGAGGTAGCCGGATACGAGCGCGCCCACGAAAGAGCCACCTGGCATGCTACATAGTGTCAGCAGAAAACAGCGTGATAGAAGGGGGTGAATTACGCTGCTGTTATACCACCCTGAACATCAGCAGTAGGGCCAGAACATTTCTCTTCAGGGCCGGTGAAAGGCGGGCCTGAAGGACCTTGGTTGAAGTAACATCGGTACTGTTGAGTTGGCAGGCTAGCGGTAAATTTAGCATTGTCATCTCAGAGAAACCAAAAAGGATAACTTACATTGCGCTCATAGAGCTAATGTCGAAGCCAAACAGCCCCCCGCCAATAACAGCAATGGCGGTGATGCCGTAAATGTTGCCAATTTGATACATGTTGGATGAAGCTCACCCCTACCCAGTTTGTAGAAGGGACCCGAAGGTTAGGCAATCTCTGAAAGGTAGAGGCACACTCGATGGGCGGATAGGATGGTTTATATGCTTTTCCCCTCGGGGTTGTTTGATACGCGCGACTGGGGTCAAGAGAAACGTGGGAGCCCCGCAACGGGCCTTTCGCTCTCCCTGGCAACAGTCTTATTTGCAAAAGTGTCGGAAATGCTGGTGGGCTACCGCTCTTGGTATAGACTCCGAGACAAGATGCAATGATTGGGTGCGTAAATGCGTGGATCTAGCGTCGGAGCGAAGAAATGTCAAGCCTGCCACAGTCGGGGGCTTAGTGCTTGTATTGCGAGTCGCAACCGGGGAAAATCACTCCGAGAGAAACACAAAACCGGACGACAGTATCAAGACCGCTTTTGGTGAATTGGTCTTCCTGCATTTGTTATGACAACATGCCTTGATTATGGGCGTACCAGAATCGAGTAGTTGTGACTATCGCTCGGTACCACAGGACACTCGACCCAGGACTCCGCACTCCGCAAAAAAGCTCTCCATCTCTCCAGACTCCAGATGCCCACAGTTTGTGCCCCAAGGCCTCTCCATGAAGCAAAAATTTTCGTACACAGTGGGCCTTGATCGCAGTCCGCGCTTCAGAGCTGAGAGGTTGATATGAGGTTCCCACACGTGACGTCACATATCGGATTTAGGAACCGCATGCAGCCACTCAGCAGGCACGCCGCTGACGTCGACCCGCTTTTCGAAATGTAACCGCGATGCGCCTCCCGTTGGCTCAAAAGCTTAAGCTTCGTGCCGACTGCCGAGCGAGCCTGTCGATGTCAGGCTTCGACAACTCTTCTTTCATCGTAGCCGAGAGACCGACCGATCAAGCATCCCTTCGCATTGTCACATCCTGCTCGCGCGACCCGGCATACGGGATGTGGGAGGCGATAAGAGAGGAGGGTGGAGACAGCCAGGGATCCTCATGGTCCGTCCCACACCAACCTCGGTACTGTTGCATTGCCATCGCTCTAGCGTGCAAAGGACCCAAACAACGCAGAACCTCTGCTGATAAAGAAACCAGGCATAACTTCGTCAGCCTTACAAGGAGTGGGTCTGTCGCATAGCCTGGGGAGCGAAATGTAAATTGAGGCGGGGAAAAATGGCGGAGAACTGGTGGAATATTCTTCTGAAGGTGCACAGATGGGCATGACCCGCGTTTTGCCGTGACGAGTGTTGTAACTACACGACCCGAGAGAATGAAATAAGTTTAACATTTCCCTTGATATCATTCTCATAGTCCTCGTAAGCCTCAAACCGTAAAAATGTCCTTAATCTCGGCACGTGAACGAAGAGCGGGTATGTTTCCTAGTCCGTCCTCTACGATGTCGATCATAGCTCGACAGTTGGCAGTCACCCGCCACAATCGGTCCTTTAGTATACGAATCGACAATGTTGAAAATGCGTTCAACTCTTCATGTGACTACGCGACTAAAATTTGAATTGAAAGTAGTAGTTTAGGTACTGCATAAGTAAAAACTGCTTGGGGTGCCACGACAACAAGGGATCGTTGGTACTACCATTGACTCTGCGTACATGGACACTATTTGCGATGCTTTGATAAGAAAGAACTCTCAACTTTCAAGAGTTTTTCGCGATTTTCATGAAAGGTAAATACAATTATATATTACTTGGCTAGTTCGTTATATACAATCGATCCTAAACATAGCTCTTCTTCTCTCTCCATGCACGTCTACTGAGGGGGGTTGGCCCATCCACCTGGGGGAGGGGCACCTCCAGGAACAACGAGCGCGGTCACAGGGACCATAGTGAAGTTTAGTGGCGGCGAGACAAACTGGTTATACTTGGCCTCGTGTAAGGCGGTGTAGTTGGTGCCGGAGCTGCGATATCAAGTCAGTCAAGGATTCCAATCACAAGGAACGAGCGGAGTTGAACAACTTACATGTCATAGTAAGGTGCCTTTAGGAAGCTGACTTGGATGTTCTTGGGTCCAAAGCCATTGCCATCCTGCTCCCTTAGCGAGAGCCTGGCTGCGACACCGTTGTTGACGCCCTCGAGAATCCGGCAGTCTGTGTAGGTTGAAGGCTTTGTGAAGCTGTTTTCGTATCCCTGCTCGTATCCTTGGCAGTAGGCTTTTACACCAGCGATCTTGCCCTCAACTGACGGCACAGTGACGTTGAACAGGTAGTAGCATCCACTGCGACTGCAGCCAGCCTCCCAGTTCTCCACCTGCCAGGTCCAGTCTGGGTAGATTGGGTCTGGGACCTGGCGACGAGCGACAGGGCCAGCGATGGCCGAAGAAGCGAAAAGAGCGAGTGTGATAAGGGAAACCATTGCGAAATGAGTCTTGGGCTGTTAATTCTCGGTGATGAGTCGAGGGTGTTTGAGTAGGATGGATGTGGATAGAATGGAGGGGAACGGGTACCTGATATAATGTTCATTCGTGCCTAGGGCATGTGACTACAAAAGCTCTGGCAATAGATTGTTCTCCGATCAATACACCAAAAATAGCACCTCGTATAGAGAGCTTCCCTGTTGGGGTATTCGACGTCATATTGGGCTAGCCAAGCTAACGCTTTACGGCAAGCAAGGTAACATGGAGTCAACAGCAATACCAATACGAAGGACTAACACGGATGAAGTACAACGGTCCAAATGATCGCTATATTTGGAAAAACCTCAATGGCTTCTATGCAAGGCAAGTTGAGAATAGCCTGCTTTAGTCGGAAGGGACGTTAGGAAGAGAGTCAGTTGGGAACCAAGGATGGCCTGTCTCCGCTCCCAAAGTCTTCAGTCGCGGTCGCTACCATCCAGGAATCACCGTTCTTGCGCTTCAGGGAGAGCGAATCTACTAGTGGCAAAGAGGCGGTAAGTAGGAAATGACGTCTGGCGCATGAACGTATTTGCCATGCTCCACTTTCGCATTTCGCCGGCATACCGGCTAGCTCGTAAAACAACGCGGTCTTTGCTCTGCAGAACAATCGTGCGGCGATTGAGCACATAGCGTCCGAGACAACAATTGCCTGTTTCTGCCGTTGTTGCGTTTCCGACATGATTTGTCCATGCCGCCGGTACACCCGGAATTGCATCAAGGGTAACAGCGGAAGTAAAATGGCAAGATGATACTTCCTCGTGAGGTGCGCATTTCGCAAATGCGCATGGCTTTGCGGACATGGCACGGACGGTGCAGGAATTAAGGGGGTAGAGCCAGCCCAAGCCTGAGCTCAGCGAAACAACAAGGTTGCGAACGCTAAAACACAGCCCAGTCGAGCCAGAATTTGAAATGGGAAATAGTAATTTAGGTAAGCTCGGCCATATACGGAGGTGCATTTCAAAAGTCTTTTCCCACCCCCCTGGTCAGCGCACGGAGCAACAACAGGGATAATCGGCCCGATTCCTCCATGACGTGTCCTTTCTCTCTTCTCTCTTCTCTGTCAACGAATCTTGCCCTCTTCTGTGTATGATCTAATCATGCCTGTCTTTGATCTTGCAACTCGTGCTTTAATTATAGCCTACAAGGCTGATGGAAAAACAAACCAAGAGATTACTAGGTTGACTGGTGTTGAGAAGCGTACAATCAACTCAATCTACGCAAGGGCAATTGAGAGAGGCTTTGATCCTGCTCTAAGGCCTATAAAATTAGAGAATAAGCACGTTGAAGATGTGTCACGATCTGGGAGGCCTTTAAAACAACAGGAGGCCTTTGAGAAGGTTGTAAGCCTTGTGAGAAGAGATCGGTATGGCTAAGAGAAAACCTGTGCTGATATTGCTGGTGATCTTAGTCAAGATGGCCTGGATATCTCAGCCTCCACGCTGTGGAGAGTACTCAGAAAAGCAGGATACAAGAAGACAAAGCCAATAAGGAAACCTGGGTTGACGAAACAGATAAGGAAGGAGAGGCTAGCGTGGTGCCTTAAGCACAAAGATTAGACTCTTAAGGATTAGAAGAATGTTATTTAGACAGATGAGACTGCTGTTGTACTTCTTTATCGACGTGGAGGGTATAGACTTTAGAGGAGGGTCGATGAGGCTGTTGTCAAGAGTTGTATCCGTGAGAGATGGAAAGGTTACTCTGAGTTTATGTTCTAGGGTTATTTTACGTACGAGAAGAAAGGACCTTGTCATTGCTGGAGGCCTGAAACAAAGCAAGAGAAGGAAGAGGCTGCAAGAAAGATTAATGAATTAAATGCTGAGTTGGAGCATCTAATGAGAAAGAACTGGGAGCTTAAAATAGGCATACGGCGGCTTGATCTCCGTACAAAGCCTGGCAAGAAACCTGAGTGGAGATGGAATCAAAAGAATGGCAAATTATCACGAGGCAAGGGCTCAGGCATAGACTGGTGGCGGTACCAGTCAATTATTATGCGGCCAAAGTTGATTCCTTTTGCAAAGAAGTGCATGAAAGAGGCCTAGTACTGTGATTTAAGAGGATAAAGCACCTGCTCACAGCTATTACGTTCAAAGCTGGGTGTACAGTCAAGAGCACGTAGCACAGTTGCTTTGGTGCGGCAATTCACCTGACTTGAATGCTATTAAGCCTTGCTAGTTTTGGATGAAGAGATTCACAACAAAGAAAGGAGCTCTTAAGAGTAGAGCTTAGGCTATTCGTGCGTGGGAACAGTGCTGGGATGAGCTGCCTCAAGAGAAGATACAGGCCTAGATTGAGCATATTCCAATCTATATCAAACAGATCATTGACTTAGAGGGAGGAAATGAGTACAAGGAGGGCAGAAATGTACGTAGGACTGATTGAAATTAATTGTATTGGGCCGAATCACCCCTGTACTTGCTTTGTGTGTTGACCAGGGGGTGGGAAAAGACTTTTGAAATGCACCTCCGTAGTGTTCGGCCACATATACCCTGCTGCCCGGCCGTCCGAGCCACCCTGAACACCAAAACAGCAGCTTAACTTGAGGCTGTAGAGCCACGAACGATAGCTATTATCGCGATATTTTCTAGAGTTGAATTCTATAGGCATTGATTGATATATATAGCTATCTATATTTAGCTGGGAGCTTGATTGCTCGGCCGTGTCGTGATTGAGATGGTGGTGGGCCTGCTGCAGCACCTGAGGCATCATCACCACTCTGAGGCTGCGCAGCTGCTCTCTTTTTTGAGCCTGCCTTAGTAGCTGCCTTGAGGTCTCTCCTCTTGCCTCTTTGGGCAGTTTTTTGAGCTTGCTGGAGTCGTTGTTGAGTCCTACGAGCTGCCTGTCGTGAGGCTCGATCAGCAGCCTTACGAGCTATCACGGGGCGGAACAGTAGGATCGAGGTAAGAACATAGTTGTAGTGTAAAGGTCTATGTACAAGAGCGCGGGGAGGATATGTACCGTAGGGTAGCAGGCGCTAGGCTAAGATAGGGATGGGGCACGTGACCTACAGAGCGCCGAGTTGGTGCCGTGACACGAGCCTTCTCCTCCTGCCTTATTATTTGAGCTGCTGCCCTTGCTGCACGCTTCTGTTGAGCTGCCTGAAGCTTCTCCTGCTTCTTTACTTCACGTAGGCGAGCTGCCTTAGCTCTCTAGTGTTGTAGTTGCTCTTCTTCGAGCCCTTGTTAGAGCTAGCGATCACGTGCCTCCTTCACCTTCCTTGGAGACCAGAATACAGCCCCACCGTGATAGTCCTCGCCTGCCTCTAGAGGGAGAGCCTTGCCTCGCTTTCTACGCTGCATCTCATTAACAAGAGCCTGCATAAGGCCTTGAGCCTCGTGTGTGAGAAGGCTTTTCTAAACTGAGATAGAGTAGAAAGCTCGGCTGAACTTTTAAGCTCGTGGATCATTCCCATCACCTACTACCTAGCGTAGAAGGCGTTCAGTTTTCCGCCAGTCAGAGGCACTCAAGGCTGAGAAGTCGCTATCACTTAATTGGCCTAATTAAGCTGGCTAGTTGAATCGTTTGAGTATCACCTCTAGGTTGAGAGGTGAGACGCCAGTTGCCTCAAAGGCCTTAAGTATAGTCTCTTTCTTGAACGAGGCCTCCCAGGCAGCCATAAACATCGGATAGAAGTCTCTTTTGCTCATAGATGTGAGCCCTTGACACCTCTCCATGAACGCAGCTACCTAGTTTGCACACCTGAGATCAATCAAGCTAGCTTGATAGCTTGATTGGAAGATTGATGCCAAGCCAATTCAATCAATCCAGCCAAACCTCATACAAAAACGCAATCAATCCAGCTGAGCTTTTCCGTGAGCTTGATTCAGATTGATAGCTTGATTGCCTTAAGTATATAGTAGATTTCGGTGATGAGGCAGCCCATGAGGCAGCTTAGATAGCTGTAAAAGCTCTATACTGAGCTTTTTTTGGTGTTTTAGTTACGCCGTGTAACATTGAGTAATATCCGATAGCTCCGTGTAACTAGCAGCCAGCGCGTCGTCTCATATAGTATACTCCATCTCCATCTCCATCACCCACAATACTATATACTTTTGGTGTTGCAGATCTATCGCCGTATACCTCACCTCATCGTCGCCCTCATGCCGCCCAAAAAACGCGTCTCTGATAGCGCTCCCTCGCCTAGAAAGCGCGCGCGCGGCACTGCGAGCCAGCCCGTCGCGATCGACTCGCAGTCATATCAATCTCAGCCATCTGCTCTATCTCCGCCGCCTCCATATACACATACTTTCGAGTCGCGATTGCGCGAGTCGCAGCCCGAAGACGCTATCGTCGCGCCCGCCGAGGGCAGTGAGCAAGCTACGCTCGCTCCGTCTTCTGAAGCCGCCGACGACGCTGTAGATGAGGCTTTTGACGCCCATCTCGAAGACAATTATGATGGCATAGATTGGGGTCGCCTTAAGCTGTATACGAAGCCTATCACGACGCACCAACACAAGCGGAGTTGGATCTATCGCCACGGCTATCGCGTCGCTCTTCTCAAAGATCCAACCCGCGTATTCTTCATCTGCCACTGGTGTTTCAAGCACAAGCTCACGGATATTGGTATTGGGATATACAATACAAGCGCAGCAGTCTCGTCAGCCGCGCGCCACCTCAGCGAGCAGAAACCTGGCCATAGGCTAGTAGCACCAGGCAAGACTCCAGTTGCTAGTGTTTACAACGCGCTCACCACTGCGAGAGTCCCTATCTCACAGGCAGTAGCTAATCAGATTAACGGGTTTAGCAAGCAGCGCTTTAGGTTTGCCGCAGTAGACTGGCTCGTCGCGAACAACCACCCCATCTCTGAGTTCGAAACACCAGCTTTTCGACGCCTAATTGCTATCGCCAACCCACTTGCAGAAGCAGCGCTCTGGAAGAACCACAAGAGCGTCTCCCAATACGTCATACGACTGTTTGACTGGCTCAGGCCCCGCGTTGTCCACGAGCTGTCACAATCGCTTAGCAAGATCCATATAAGCTTTGACGGATGGACAACGAAAGGCGGCAAGCGCGGGTTTCTCGGTATCGT